TGATGATGAACAATTTACTATCAACAACTCAATTATTAGGATTCAAGAAAATAACTTTAAAAAAAGGATTGAAGAAATGAATCACCGTATTAACCAACAGCTAGAAAGGTTAGACAATCTTTGTCAAAAAATGAATCTGAACAGTATACCTTTAGAAAAAAGAGAAGATATTGTTAATAAGCTAGAAGAAGTACATTATATTCTTTCTCAATATTAATTACTGGTGAGCAATATAGGCTTGGATTCTGCTATAGGCATGACATAAGCACTATTAAAAATTAAAAAAAAAACCAAATTAGACTAGAAAAAAAAAAAAAAAAAAAAGAATAAAAAAAAAAAAAAGAGATTAAAAAAACTTTTTTGAGTAGCACGTATCTAAAATCTGCTGAAGGGAGCTTTCCAGTAGACGATATAATCTTGGAATTTTCTATAAAAATGGTATAGGCACTTTAAAAGATAAAGACATTTGATTGGTGTTTAAGATCTGCTAAAAGCGATTCTGGAATATACTTTTACAAAATAATTATTGTTTCATGACTTTTCAGCACAAATACATCATTATATTTGAATGCACAATAAAAATTAAATAAAAGAATATTTTTTGTTCGCCTTTTTTTCCTAGTACCCGGGAAAAGCTTTGCACCAATTTTATAACTCAGGCCAAATAAAGTTGATCTCAGTTTATAACTAAATTTAACAAATGCGATTAAAAAAAATTTTTTAAATTTATAAAAAATTTCAAAAGTTTTCAAAAGTTTGACCCGCAAAAATCAAATTAATTTCAGATATAAAAACTGTTTTCGTTCAAAAAAAATTTTTTTTTGTTATACATGAAATTATATGTGTTAGGTGCTTTTGTATTACAGTTTTGACGAGGTCGGGAGAGGGTCGGAGCATTGGTGACAGATCTGAGGTGGTCTGTTTTTGCTTGACATAAGGGAACCCTTATTGCTATCTCAAATATCTGTTTCTCAAATATTGTTGTTTCTTCAATAAAATATTTAATTAACTATTTTTGTTTAAAATAACAAAATAATATTAGAAATATTAGACAAAAGACTAAATAAAATATATATTTTTTTGTAATTTTTTTTTGAAATATAAATAATAATAACAATACTAAAATAATAAAAATAATAAATAATAATAATATATATAATAATAAAAATAGTAATGAAAGTATAAAAATGAGTCATACAAAAATACAAGAAACAATCTTGACCCAAACCCTAATCTAAATCAA